GGGCACGGTGATAGAGTAAGGATAGGATTTTATTTTGATAAATCACACAGTGTTGTCCAGTAATATTAACTGATATTATATCAATTATAATTATATATATATATATATTATGTAATATATATTATATAATTATATTAAATTATATTAGAATAAGGCATTAAGAAGACAAATTTCGCGAGATGATATCATCATTTCGTAGTTTCTTTACAACCGCTTTACAACTAACATGGTTAACAATGATAAAATAAAGTTCATGAAAATTACTCAGTTAAATAAAAACAAAAGTACATACTAATGACCAATCATATTTAGACAGGTCATGTAGTCCAGAGTAGGCGAAGATTGAAGTCTATTGATTTTTGTATACACAGTCTAGGCTGTATGTGATTAATCCAAAGTGCTTCCATCACCTTCAATAACCTTGAATTAGAGTTATGTGAAATAAGTGTGAAACAGTCATTAATAGTGATTTTGTGACCAGATATTAATAAGTGTTTTGCAATGGATGATGCTGAATTTCTACTAAGATTAATCGCGTTAGGATTTTCGATATGATTTACTAGCCATTTTGGAACATGTTCTTTTCGACGACATTGGAACATTCTGTTAGTTCTACCTATATAAGTGTCACCGCAGCTGCAGGTGAACTTGTAGATACAGTTTGAAGTAGAATCCACAGAATTTCGTCCTTTAATCGTAGGTACAGGGATCGAAAATGTTCGACAAGTGAGAAAAAGAGATTTGGCGTAGAATGTGCGTTTGATGGCTGACCGAAGTCTTTGAGCTGTCAACTGCATAATCTGGTCGCCCTTGAATGGTAGATTAATAAAGATGGCTTTCTTTGGTACAGAAGCTTTCTTTTCAAGATGTGGTCTATTCTTACCGTGACAATTGATGAAGTTTTCTGGATAACCATTGGCTAGTAAAACTGAATGTATATGTCGAAGTTCATCCATCAATGTGTCACTCATGCATATTTTTCGGGCCCTTGAGAACAAACATTTCATCAGGGAACGTTTATACTGGATAGGAACAAAACTGGTCAAGTGAAGATATTGTCCACTCCACGTCTGTTTACGAAAAATAGAGCGCTGAATCGTTCCATCATTTCTCCTAGTCATAGTAATATCCAGGAAACCGAGTTTGATATTGGATTCCAGTTCAGAGGTCACTGTACAACACTGTGTGATTTATGAAAATAAAATCCTATCCATAACGGAACAAGTGCCTCAGCAATTCAGTGTACATTGCTGCATTGTTTTGACTGATTGTCCTTCACTTAGCGAATTACTCTAAAGGACAAGTTTGTTAAAATGATCAGTGTCGACTAGGTGTTCAATTATCTCACTCCATATCAAGTCACTACTATCTTTCAGTAAGCACTTGGAGTTTCTTTTTATTCCTTTATGTTCTCAGTGGAACATAGGGCTTCAAGCTGGAGACCGGAAGTTTCTGTAGCAATGTTGATTACTTTTACACGATAGGGATTGCCAGCCTCATGCCCAACCTTACCTCTTTAGCAGTCTTAATATTAGCTTACTGAAGTAAACGATTGCGTCGGCCAGAGATTGAACCCCGGACCATCTGTGTGGTCAGCGAGCACTCTACCGCTATGCCACCGACGCAACTATGTGGAGTAGTGTTCGTGAATAATTTTAAACAGGATACGCGTCGAATAACCAATATACTTGGCTTCACAGGAAACAAACATTTAATATATACGCACACAGAAGTGATCCAATACAAGATCTTTTCTTTCAGATGTCTACAGATCCCTGGCTGGAAGGCTGAAGGACACTAATTTTTAAGACTCTCCCCACCCCCCTCAAATAAACTCGTTAAGTTTCCCCCATAAAATCAAGGTTCATGTAAGATTTTTATTTTCTGGCACAACTGTTGTTTTTGTTTTGTCCAAGAATACTTCCTATCATACCATTAATCTTACATCTAACAGTCATATCGTATTATATAAAATATAATATATTTCCACGTTATGCAAATAATTGAAAGGAATTTACAGAATTGTTTACACGCCCACAAACGAATTCTAATATTCATGGTTATAATGAAGTGTTAATTATGAACCTGCCCTTTCAGAAATACCAGCCGATACTTGACATTTACTAGAAAGTGTGCATATATATATATATATATATCTTGTACACATTAACCGTGCAAAGAAACGCTTTCAAGGATTCTCTGTGTGTATATGGATATGTGGATACAATACACAGGGTGGAAACTCTATACATGTCAGATGTCAAAACGTTAGTAAATCAAGACAAAAATAAACTGAATGAATGAATAATTTTGAAAAAAAAAACTAATAAGGTGAATGTGCAGATTTATACTAGTAGAAGTGCGAAGGTGTGATGAACAAAATAGAAACAATGTTTACAAGTTGAACCTTTAAGAAATCTTTAAACAAAACGAAGATTGTTGATTTGTTTGTTATATTTGCTAATTGGATTTTCCTAACTTTCTGGTGATTTCATCCCAAAAAATAACTTTACAATAGGATTTGTTTATATGTTCATTTAATTTCTATTATTATTATTATTTCACTCAAAGTAGCATCGAAGGTAGATTAATGCAGATTGTGATTTCTAAAAGTGTGGTCTGAAAGTCTAAAATTATGAATACAGATCACCAAGAGGCATAGAAACAGAATTTTGCAGGATTAGAAAATGAATACGAGTGTGGAAGTTCCAAAAAGACAGGCATAGAATATATGCATGTTAACATTAGGCCTTATTATAGCATGAAATTCCATATTGATCAATTTATTAGATAGATCACACAATCAGTGTAACAGTATTATCATTTACTGGATGACAAAGTTTCGAACACAAGTAACTATGGCTCATAATCATTTCAGCAGTTATAATCACACGACTTCGAAACTGGAGTTTCATAATTTTCTGTATTCTCTCCTATTTATCGTCGTTAGGGTAGTAGAATTTTCCAGCTGTCTAGGTGTTCAGGTGTCGAATCATTCCTATTACATGTATTTGCAGTTGATTCGATAAATAAAGCTTCCATTATCAATTTCTCCCTCCCCAAACTGTTATATTAGATGTTAAAACCGTCATCTTACCCCATCCAGCCTATTCTATGGTTTGTTGTGTGTAACTGCATTTAGTGCTGCTACGGTTGAACTATTCTCTAGATTTCTTATCTTATTCGGGTCAACTAATCTAGATTTTTCCCTGTTCTACTAATTTGACTTATGTATTTGACCTGACAATCATTCCATCACCCTATTAGATAAACTGAATTGTTTTGTTTTAAAGGCTCCACAAGATTGAACTTTCAACCGACAAGGCCTGTTTCTAATTGAGTTTTTGGTTTTGAATGCCAGCCACCTTTATTCCTGCTTGCTTTGTTAAGAATTACGCGTAAGGTTTCCGAGGTTCCTCCCCTGTATGGAATTACTATTATTGATTTAGATTCCTTATTGTTGGTGTTGCGTTTGACATGCATGTCGTTGTTAATATTACTATTATTATTATCACTACTATCATTATCACTACTATTATTATTTATTTTATTTTTGCATTTCTTTGCATACTTCCTGACTAACTTATCAGGGTAATTATTAAGTTTTGAAGCTCCTCTTATATACCTCACTTCTTGTCTTAGATTTTTCTTTGTTCTATTTAGTTTTTATGCTTTATTACTTAAATATTTCACCAATCCTATTTTTACTGCTATAAGATGGGATGATCGGAAATCCAAATGCCGCTTTGAATGTGTATGCTTCCTGTAGACCCTAGTATCTAACTTCCGATCTTCTTTCTTTTTGACGTTACAATCTAACATTGGAAGTTCCCCTTCCTGACTTTCCAGTTCATAAATGAAGGTGGATACAGTTCAATTTACAATTAGCTCAGTGTTTTTTAAACATCCCGTTTATACTTATGCTCGTTCAAAACTATTTGATATATTATGCAACTATCTTCTAGTCTTGGGTAATTTTGTTCTTGTGCTCCTTGTGATCTGTGTGCAAACTTTTAAACTTCCATTTCAAGTTGAAAATTATCATGAATAATTTTGCTTAAAATATTACCGAAAACAAAAACGTATCATTGCATGTCAACTAGTAAAGTATAATTACAATTTATTTAATATCTCCCTTTATTTATTATATTATTATTATTGTATCCTTTAGTTCCTAGAGGAACATAGGGCTTCAGCTGAGCACCTCCATTGCCTTCGGTTTTCTGACAACTTTTTCACCCTGCTCCAGGTATGTCCACATGCTTTCATCTCCTCCTCGCATGACCTCCTCCAAGTCACCCTTGCACTGACGACCAACTCGCCGCCTCCCTTTCGGGTTTCACTCGAAGGGCTTGTCTGGTGATGTCACATGATGGTTTTCTCAGAGTATGGCTAAACCACCTCCATTTCTTCCTGCTTATTTGTTGCACAATCGGTTCCTGGTTGGTTCGCTCACAGAGATCCCTGCTGCTGATATTTTCTGGCCATCTGATCTTGAGTATTGAGCGGAGACAGCTGTTAATGAAGGTCTGAAGTTTGTTTGAGATGCTCTTTATGACTCGCCAAGTCTCTGATCCGTATAGTAGCACTGACTTCACATTGGAGTTGAAAATCCGGATCTTATTTTTGATGCTGAGTGCTGTTGACCTCCACACAGATTTGAGAGTAATGAAAGCTTGTCTTGCTTTTCCGATTCTGGCTTTGATATCCTCGGCAGTTCCGCCTGTAGTTGAGAAGATGCTTCCCAGGTAGGTGAAGGAGGTTGTTTCTTTCAGGTTCTTCCTACTTTATTACTATGTTAAATTAAACCGTGACTGAAACTAAGTGAATTTATGCGCTGAAATGCGATTGTACACAGTTGCTTTTGAGGATGGAATCACCGTAAGGATAACTGTACTTAGCTTCTTGTTCATTCCTCTCTAAAATCTTGTGTCAGGGAGGTATTTTCCAGGATTTGAATTCCATCCTATTGCTTTTTTTTGATTTCTTTTTTTCATTAGATGAAATTACGAATGAATCGTAACAAACTTCCACTGAAAGCCCTTCTTGTACAACCTGTTCAACGGATTCCACGATATGAACTTCTAGTGAAAGTAAGTAATTACATTTATTAAATAGTCTTAACTGCTTGATTCTCATTAGATAGTGGCGGTAAACAGTGTGACATATTTTTTAGTGTGGTGAATAGTTTTATTTCACCATTTCGACACCTGGAGGCAGATAAACATGGTGTGGATCCAGTGTGTATTCTTTGAAATTATACCTCTAATGAAAAAACGTCACTTGCATGATGCTATGTACTACTAACTGACTGATTTGAGAAGATGTACACCATATTTTTCGTCAATTAATTAGTGACACGCGTGAGTGGATTAACGGGATTCGTACTGATCCCATCTACTATCCAGTAGAACCACTGTAAAGGGAACAGGAAAAGAAAACCCTGATCCGCTTTTATGAGAAAAACTGACGGATATAGAGTAGACAGAAACTGGGTATTTTAGTGACTGGTGTCAGTGAAATACCATTGCTGTCATCGCTGCTTCCCGTGCTCACTGACACAGGAATAGACTGCTATGTTACCATGCTGGCATACGTAGTTTAACATCACTTGGGTCGGTGTCATGTTCATCTCAGATACAGTGTAGTGTCCATTACGTTATTTGAACCACAATGTTTTGTGCGACCATGTCAGCGAAGAGTTTGACCGGGATGATACATCCATGAAGTGTTCACGCAGTTGTCTTAGAGTGAACTCAGACAGAACAGAAATTGCTTCAGAGTAAAGGGAAGAAGGTTAAATTGATTATGATTCTCAATATGATTACGGACCGTGTAAGCATATTGATCTTTTTGAATATTATTTTCAGATTTTGAAGAAAGAGATGCCAGAAAAGTTACTACGGAGATAATTGGCTTTCGGCTGCCTAGCACCCATAGTGACGTCCTTTTTGAACCTTCAATATCGGCTCTTCTAATCACCAAGAGTCGAGTTGCTCATGCACTTAAAGGGAACGCTTCCTTCATTTAGAATACCACGAGACTGGTTTGTTTTACCTTAATAATAAGTGAAGTACAATCTAACTGCTGCTACGGTAACCCGTTCAGTAGGAGAGAAACCTCAAAGTCAGAAAGTTAGTGTATGTTCCCGATGAAAAGTCCAGCGGTTCCTGGCTACCATCTGAGGGATTTAGACTGAAAGCCGCTCATCGTAATCGTAACCCCTGGAATTTGGGGTTCAGGGGTCGGAATGGCATCTAATTATGGTATGAGCGTGAATATATTAAATCTTTTGTAGACGACTAAATTTGTTTTTAAAAATTTAATTTTAGATTTTCCTATCGGTTGATTGGACTGAAGTGCTCAGTCTTAGGTTGATATGTCAGCTTCTTGTGCAGATGCTTCGACGATGTCTGGGCATTTGATTAGAATTCGATTGGTGGATGGTGACTAGCAGTGGAATCCAGGATGCGCATTTCTTCATACTTGAGACTCGTCAGCTGGATGTATCTGCACTCCACAGTGAGTGATGAAGTTCCCAAATATAACGAAATGCGCATCCTGGATTCCAATGCTTGTCATTGTCCACCAATTTTAATTAAATGCCTAGACATCTTCAAAGCATCTGCACATGAAGTCGACAGGCATGTCAACCTGAGACAGAGCACTTTGGTTCAATTAATCGACGGAAAAATCTAAAATTCAATTTAATAATTAATATGACCCGTCGCACAACAGGTGGCTCTCGTGGTCCAAGTGGTCTAAGGGATAACTATTTGGCGTTTGGAAATATGGGCACTGGGTTCGAGCCTCGGTGGGAACATCATCGCTCACTGGAAAATGCAAGTATATCCAGTGGCTTACGACTCCCAAATAGCACGGAATGCGCATCCCCGATTCCACTGCTAGCCACCATCTACCAATTAAAAAAGACCTAATGTCTTGCTTCGGAGAACTAAATGGTCGGATAGCTGCTACATTGAGGGGCATCGGGTCCTATCTTTGCTTGAGATAATCATCAAAATACAAGATCATGATTCTGAGAAAATGTAACAAGACAGTAGGGAGAAGGCACCAGTGTCTCAGACTGTCAAAACAAATATTTAATAAAACACTTACACCCTGTCTCAGAAATGCATCATTTCAAATGAATTTGAAGTAGACTAAATTTTCTGTGAATGACGTACACTTCCCGAATGTAACACCTAAATAAAAATAATCAGAAGGAATTAGGACATGATTGACTGACATGAGTAGGTGTGAACCACTCATACCAACCAGTAATGCTAGGGTGAAGCTCCCCAGCGGTGTATCCAGTTTTCATTCGCTGATGAGGAGTTGAAATACTTCTAATCACTCGAATTCCGTCTAGCTGCATGGGTCACCTGGATCAGATATGATGTGAGGTGGGTGGTATCCAACTACTTACAGTCAATCAGTCCATCAGTAGTATATGGTATTATGAGATTAAACTTGCTTTCCTATACGTTATTTATACCACTAGGGAAGATCATGTATTGTAAGCTGAGTAATTTCCGTTTGCAAAGGAAAGTGGGATGAAGTTTCATCACTTGGATTGTGCGAACTGAAAAATGCCTTTCGAAGATTCCAATTGTCCGCTAAACCCGTATTAACAGGACAACAGCTAGAGTTTTTCAACTACCTATATAATTATCAGCCGGTCCCAAGCCTGGGTGAAGAGGGAGGGTTGGGGCGTGGTGCTAGCAACTCCACCCCTGTAAAACAACCAAATCGCTACAGAAACCTCAACGAATAAATATATAAAAAATTCTAAAATCATAAGCAGTAGCCTTACTTTTCGCACTGGAGAGATAACCCCGACCAGAACAAGCTGGATTCAGGAAAGGCAAATTATGTACTGACCAAATTGCAACTCTACGCATCATCATCACAGAACAAAGCATGAAATGGCGATCAAACCTCTACCTCAACTTTATAGACTTTGAGAAGACCTTCGACAGCATTGACCGTGAAGTAATTTGGAAATTACTCGAGTACTACGGCGTACCCCAAATATTCATCAACCTTATTCAACAGCTGTACGACAATGGCACATGTCAAGTGATCCACAACGGAAAACTCAGCAAGGCCTTTGGAGTAAACACAGGAGCCTGAGAGGGGTGCTTATTATCACCAGTGATTTCCTAATTGTGGTGGACTGGATTATGCGTCAGACAGTGAGTAGAAAACTAGAAGACAGGGATATACTGGACAGACGCAAAGAACCTAGAAGACTTGGATTTCGCGCGTGGATGATTTATGTTTGATGTTACACAAAATCGAAGGTTTACAAGCGACAACTGACAAACTGGTCGAAGAAGCAGCCAGCGAAGACAGGACTCCAAGTAAACATAGACAAGACGGAGGTGATGAAAATAACCAACCAACTACAGCAACAACATCCAACGTCAATCACAATCACCATAAAAGGGAGGGATTTGAAAGAGATTACTTCATTCACTCACTTATCTAGGGAGCATTGTCTAAACTACGGGCAGTCGGAACGGACGAGGATGTCAAATCGAGCGAGAATCGGGAAGGCGAGAAACACACACATTCATCAACCTGAAATAAATCTAGAAATCTTCGTTATTCAGCATCAACAACGAAATTCGTTTGGATTTTCAATACAAACGTCAAGTCAGTTAGCTCTTCTATACGGATCAGAAACTTGACCAGCGGGTCACAAAGAATATTTCCAACAGCCTGTTGCAGCTGTTGCAGACCTTTATTAACAACTGTCTTCGCTCTATACTGAAGATCAGATGGCCGAGCCGGAAAGAATCACCAACAATGAATTATGGGAACAAACAAAGCAAGAACCAATCGCCAACCAACAAATATGCAGGAGAAAGTGGAGATGGATCGGACACTCGCTGAGGACCGCTGGGTGACATCGCGCGTCAAGCCCTCGAGGGGAACGCGAAAGGGAAGCGGCGTGTGGGACGTCCAAGGATGACATGGAGGAGATCGTGTGAAGAGGAGTTGAAAGAATATGGACTAACATGGATGCAGGCGAAAAGTACAGCATAAGACAGGATCAAATGGAGACGTGCAGTTGAAGCCCTATTTTCCACTAGGAACGCAAGGGAGCAATAATAATACATTATTATCATTGTTCCCTTGATTTCCGAGTGGAACATTGTCTGTCTGTCTATTTTCAACACAGAAGTTTGCACCAGTTCAAGTCGTCACAGTCTCTCCTTGTAGTACACAGAGCAAGAGAACAAAGTACAAGAAATGCATAATAGAGACAGTAGACAAGGATATGGGACAAAAGGAATAGTAGTATCGAAGAACAATATAATTTCATTGGAAGTTATAAGTCATAAGGAGTGGATGCATATGCACTAGCCATCAAGAACAAGGATTTTGAGCCATATCACCAATTATCTCCAGCTATTGGTGTTTACCCTCTGGAGGATCCCAGCCAGACATAAGTCTACACATCCTGACGTAGCTCAAACTAGCCGTTGTGAATTTCATTGACTGATGAAGCCATGTTTTGGTTTGACCGCCGCTAGCTCTTTTCCAGCCTGACCCCATGTCACCTAATATTGCCTGTTGAGGAAAGCGATGCTAGGGATACATACGTGAAACATGTCCTAACCGTCTCAGTCGATGTAACTTCACAGCCTTGTCTATTGATTTCATCTCCTGACTTAGCACCCGACGGACGCCTAACCTCAATATTGCTTACCCTATTATGCCACTTCACACACGCGACAGAATGCAGACAATTATGATCAAAGTTAGCTAGCCTTTTCATGTCTTGAAACACGGCCTCAATAACACATTTCCACTTTTTCTCTGCTGTTCTCTTTAACTGAGTCCACAAATGACCATAATCTCCCATCTCCTCAAACTCAAACGATTTCCTTCATGTCATTCTTGCACTGACGACCTATTCGTCGCTTACCATCGGGACTGCACTCAGTTAATGACCTGGATTGCATATCTGCTAAGCAATCTTATCTTGTTTGGTTTGTTCATCGCCAGAGGATTTCGGTGTTAATTCTTTCTGACCAACTGGACATTTAATCTTCAGTATGGAGCAAGCGAAGTTGGCAGC